TTGGGACAAATAAGACTGGTGCTCCATAGGTGGACGTGCTTGGTCGAATCCAGCCCTTCTCTGTGAGCTCCTTGCGCTGGCGACAGAGCTCATCTAACTCCGCAGGAGACGTCCTTTAGATCTGCCCTCTACGTACTTCGCTATCAGGGACGACTTCTATCGCATGGACAATCTCTCTTTCTACCACACCCCTAGACTCCTCAAAGAGGTATGAGTATTGCGCAACAACTGTTTCTATCTCTGGAGGCGATTTTACCGCCTCCCCTTTTCGAGAGATAAAGACTAGATACATACCTTCCTCGCGATTCTACTTATAATAATAGGTATAGAAAGACGACCCGCACATGCAACCATAGTTCTCAACTAGTCTGCTAGCCTTAAACTTTTGCAGCCTAACGGTCCTTCCATCTGGCAACTTGTGGCAAACCCAACCGAACTGAGGCTTAGCAACCTCGAGGTAGTACATGCCTAGCAACATGCCAAATGGCAGCTCGTCGCTCACCAGGAACGAGAATTTGTGTCTCGGTTCCCCTCCTCCATATGAGAAGCTGCAGACTACGTCCTTGACAGAGTACTCCACTATCGTGGAGTGCTTGTTGGCCAAGGTAGATGCTACAGATCTACTAAGCCGCTGCACTTGGCCCCCTAACCGCAGCCTATCCACATATGCACGACTAATGGATTTTCGCGTAGAACCTATGTCTGCGAAGGCGCCAACCTTTCAGCCACCTACATCGACTTCTACCACAAAGTGCTCACTCTTTAGACCTTTGTTCAACATCGCTCAAGAGTCTCTAGGGTCCTTCTCTAACCACTCAATCTCTAACTCCTCTAAGGACTCAGACACATCCATCGAACAGAGCATGGATTGGTCCAGATTTGTCTGTGGGGCGATCATGGGGTCAATAGCCTTGGCCATCGTCTGAAATGGAGAAGATTAAGTAACCACACAGAGCATGGATTGGTCCGAATCTGTCTGTGGGGCGATCAGGGGGTCAATACCCTTGGCCATCGTCTGAAATGCAGAAGGTAAAGTAACCACTTCAGCACGAGTAAGAGCGGATAGCACTCCTACTGGCCCGAGGTGTTTCCCTCGGAAGTGCTCACAGAAGCACTACCAGAGTTGGAAAATCCAACCGTCATAATCGAGGACGCGACCTTCCAGCGACCCGCTTACTCTTGGAATGGCCACAATTTAGGCAAGCGCCTCGCGTAACATGGTCTCGCCACACCTCGTACTCCAGACCAAGCTTCACCCATATGGGTGGTCCTTGGTCACTTTGACCCTTGGGGCTGGCCTACCTTTTGTTACATGCCCAGTTGGGCGATGTACCTACAAAACCGAGGATCTGCAATGTGATGAAGAGGACTGAATGGACAATGCAGTGCAACTAGAATCTCAACAAGCAATGCGCAGTCCGATGCATACAAAATGGTGCTTTATAGCGCACGGAAGACTTAGATACAAATCCTGACCTGACCGAGACTGACCCCTTGCACGTAGTACAAGATAGCGAAGCAGAACGCTAGAATGCTAATGACTAGCCCAATCAATGTTTCAACGCAGACCA